GATGTAGACAACTGGTTGGATGTAGGGTAGACAACTGGTTGGATGTAGGGGAGACAACTGGTTGGATGTAGACAACTGGTTTGATGTAGGGGAGACAACTGGTTGGATGTAGACAACTGGTTGGATGTAGGGTAGACAACTGGTTGGATGTAGGGTAGACAACTGGTTGGATGTAGACAACTGGTTGGATGTAGGGGAGACAACTGGTTGGATGTAGACAACTGGTTTGATGTAGGGGAGACAACTGGTTGGATGTAGACAACTGGTTGGATGTAGACTAGACAACTGGTTGGATGTAGGGTAGACAACTGGTTGGATGTAGGGGAAACATCTTGTTGGATGTAGACAACTGGTTGGATGTAGACAACTGGTTGGATGTAGACTAGACAACTGGTTGGATGTAGGGTAGACAACTGGTTGGATGTAGGGTAGACAACTGGTTGGATGTAGGGGAAACATCTTGTTGGATGTAGACAACTGGTTGGATGTAGACAACTGGTTGGATATAGGCTACTGGTTGAATATTAATGTAAAAACTCTACACTACCTGATAAATAAAGGTCTATTAATTTATGAACTAAATAGCCATTTATTGGTCAATTGGCAAAATATTTATGTATCCACTGGTCAGTTAAATATAATTTTAAAATAAACGTTAAATTAGACTGTAGAATAGAATTGTTTTTAAACACAGTTATGCCTCAATTTATCATGAATGGGTCAGCTAAATAGTTTGGCAGTAATTTTTACTTTATTGTTATTCACATAATAATTTTAAATCTTATTTCACAAACTTAAAAATTATTTTTTGTTTAAAAAGAACATAATAATATAACAGACTCAAAAAAATTACCTTACAAAAATTTTATTTGCTTTGACATTGTTGAAATCAATCATATCAGTTTTTTTATGTATGAGGACAAAAAATTAAAAAAGAACTAAACATACAATTGAATGATGTTTGCATTACAATAGCAAATGAATAAGGAAAACACCAAACAGCCCCCTGTCAGACAAGAAAACATGCGCACACCCAAATTACCTCCCATAAATGAAGGGAAACAACCATGTTACTAAACATTTATTCCGTCATGTTACAATAAATAAAATAGAGACAATAACTGCTTTATTTCAATGAAATAATGTACAATGTGGTAGAGCTGTCACACACAGACAACCATTTTGTTTTTACAACAATCCAATACAAGTATAGTGTACACAGACTGAAATAAGGCAATATATTACAGTCTTAGAAAGCATACTTCTAAGGTGGTACATGAGAAATCTACACTCATTTAGTTTTAATTTCAGTAAAAATTATTTCTAAGATAACACTGTAGGTCTTTAAAGTTAAGTTTTAAAATGTGTAAGAGTTAATTCAAACACCTAGCAGTAACCTACAAGTCTAGGTTCAATAAGCAGGTAATCCAAATAAAATAGTCTATACATTACATTTATCTCCCCTTCATATGTTGCATGTCAGTGTGAACATAAAATTCCATTAATAAAAAATTATCCAACAAAACAGAAAAAAATATGTAATCAATGACCTAGTGAGGCAGATTTAAATTAATATGACCAGTTTTTGTGCTTCACATAGAAATTATCTTTCTTTTCAAGAGACTATGATAAAAAATACAGTGGTATTAGTTATGTATCAACTATAAATATCATGTTAACAATGCTGTTGTGAAGGTATCATTTAAAGGAATAGTTCCAATAAACAAATATACCTGTACGTCAATGGCTCAGATCTTATGTGACTTGTATGGCTTAGTCACAGGGGAAACACAGTGACCAGTCACAGGTGACCCACTGGCTGGCCAATGGTGACCCACTTGCTGGCCAATGGTGACCCACTTGCTGGCCAATGGTGACCCACTGGCTGGCCAATGGTGACCCACTAGTTGGCCAATGGTGACCCAGTAGTTGGCTAATGATGACCCACTAGTTGGCCAATGGTGACCCACTGGCCAGTCATAGGTGACTCACTGGTTGGCCAATGTTGTACCACTAGCCAGTGCCACCTAAGGACTACAGTTCTGACAAATATATTATATGACATAATTTGCTATATATATATTACATACATACTTTATAAACCCAAAAATAATTTGATCATAATATACAATAAACAACCTCAATGTATGTTAAGTTTCTAAAATTAGTAACAAAACTGTTAAAATGTCATAGAAAATGGTTTCACATGTCAAGTAAAAACTCACAACCTTAGGCTGTTCAAATCAAAACAAGCTATCCTGTTGTCTAGCTGGTAGCTCAAATCTTAACCACAAGTTAAGACACATCTGACTGCCTACAGCCAAGTTTCTTGTGGAGCCAGCCTCAGGGCTAACAATAGACAAACAACCATTGGTTGATAATTATAAACAGATATCTCCATGGAGATGTGTTTACAACTCCATGGTGATATAAAAACTTTACAGCCATCACCAGATAGAAGACTAGAACTAGATCTTAGAACTTGGACACAAGTACAAGTCATTTCTAATTCTGACCCCTCATAACAGTTCAAGTCAGACAGTTGAGAGTCATTTAGCTAAGTAAATTTTTTTTTAGGTAACTTCAACCAAAATTTGATTCTAAGAGGTTTTTTTTTTAAATTTTGTATTGAAACCAAAGTGTTGTCCTTACACAAAGCTTATAAGCTTGAACTGTTGAAAGGCAATTTAAATACTTGTAAGTTACATTATAATAACTTCCGCCTCAATTGTGTGCACAAATGAATGAATTATTAGAGTGAATAGAAATCCCAATACCTGCTCACACTTCTGGCTTTAGTGTACAAGTTTAAGGTGCAAAACTGCTCACCTGCTCATGGGGGGTCAGAATTCAAATGACTCTTCTCAAGTGTTAATACATGACAATTAGATGAGAGATCAGCATTTAAGTAGGTTTCAGTTGTTGCTGGAAAATGTGATCAATGACTAATAGAGGTAAAATCACTTGTCACTCAACAAAAGTAGAAAATAAAATAAATATTGCCAACAATCTGAAGAAGTTGGCCAACAATCTTAAGAAGTTGGCCAACAATCTAAAGAAGTTGGCCAACAATCAGAAGAAGTTGGCCAACATTCCGAAGAAGTTGGCCAACATTCCAAAGAAGTTGGCCAACAATCTAAAGAAGCTGGCCAACAATCTGAAGAAGTTGGCCAACAATCTAAAGAAGCTGGCCAACAATCTGAAGAAGTTGGCCAACAATTTAAAAAAGCTGGCCAACAATCTGAAGAAGTTGGCCAATAATTTGATTCAGGTGGCCAAAAGCCTCCTGACATTGGCAAACTCAACAAATAAAACAAAATGTTTGTTGCATAATTCATTCAACTAAAATTCACTCACTCACCAACAACTAAAACATTCACTCACCAACTTTCAATTGTAAGTTTTAGCTGATCAGATGAAAACCAAAACAAATTTTTGACATAATGCTACAAGTCCAGACCAAACAAAAGTTTGTCTTTGAGAGAGAGTAAATGTAAATCATCATCTTCAATACAAAATTATACATTGAAAGAAAGAAGAATCTGACATTAGCAGTGATGTGATCAAGGTATATTTATAAAAAAAATTCTCAGTACATTTACTATAATAAAATTTGTTCACAAAAAGTAGTCAAAATATTTTTGTTACATTTAAAATACAGTTAGATCCTTGGATCTATATGGTTACCTACATCTAGTTGCCTCAGCAATTAACTACAGATTAAAAAAAATTTTTTTTTAAAAATCGAAGGTTCAACGGAGGCAATTGAGATAAAAGAATTGTTCACAGGCTGCAAGACTAAATGCAATTTGTCGTCACACTTGTCGTGACATATGATGACATCAAGCCTAGTCCTGACATCAACATTATGAGTCCTAACATTAATGCCATAGACAACTGATGACACTGATGTCATAACTGATGCTGAAATCAAAGTCTGGCCCAGAAAAAACTAACAGGCAAGTTTTTGTTTACTAATGCTTTGAATTCTGTCAACTTGAGCTTGTGTCAGCAAGCCAGCCACACTTCATACAACTCTCAAACCCTAAATGACACAGGATACATCCAAATGACACAGGATACATCCAAATGACACAGGATACATCCAAATGACACAGGCTACATCCAAATGACACAGGCTACATCCAAATGACACAAGATACATACAAATTACACAGGATACATCCAAATGACACAGGATACATCCAAATGACACACGATACATCCAAAGTGACATGACACAAACTCCATCCAAATCATAATAAGACATGATCAAAATTCTTCAGGCACTAAAGCACTTGAGTTTCAAAATTAAATTAAAAGCACTGTCTCATAACAAACCAATTTCATGTTGTACTAACAAACAAACCTCATGACACATTGTTGTACAAACATACAAACTTCATGACATGTTGTACAAACATCATGACACAATGTTGTACAAACTTCATGACACATTGTACAAACATACAAATGAATCTACCAAGCAGAAAAATCGGATGAAAATTATTAGAATTTCTCAAGAAAAACATCAAACTTTTGCCCCTAGACTGCACTAACGCACATTACAAATATATATTGCTGCCCTAGGTTGGAAATACACAGGTAGAACTGAATAAAGAATTCTTGTTTTTGTCATCTGTATCCAGCTAACTTAAGAATGCTCTACATTATCCATAGAAAATCATTAGATTGAGTGGAGAAGATGAACTCTATAAGGCAGATAATGATAACCATGTTTAACAAGTTATCTTGATAAGATTACAAGTTCTTCAGATACCAACATTGCTTATTTCCCCTTGACAATTATCTCCCATGTCAGACTGACACATTCACACACCCTCCCCCACCCCTAGCACTCAAACTCTTGCTGTGTGATTGTGTGTCAGTCTCACACATTCACACACCCTCCCCCACCCCTAGCACTCAAACTCTTGCTGTGTGATTGTGTGTCATACTGACACATTCACACACCCTCCCCCACCCCACTGCTAGCACTCAAACTCTTGCTGTGTGATTGTGTGTCAGTCTCACACATTCACACACCCTCCCCCACCCCACTGCTAGCACTCAAACTCTTGCTGTGTGATTGTGTATCAGACTCACACATTCACACACCCTCCCCCATCCCGCTGCTAGCACTCAAACTCTTGCTGTGTGATTGCGTTCAGATCTTTCATCAGGCCTTCCAGATTGGCCATTTCTGCTGTTAGCTCTTCTGTGCTCAAAGATTTCTGTGAAAATAATCACAGCAACGGTTAGAACATGTCCAATACTCATAGAACAACTAGTGTCATATGTCAAGCATATGTCAGTGTCATATGCCAAATCTACATGGTCATATGTCCACATTTAGTACTTGACATATTGCTACAATATTTGTACAATTTGTTTCTTAAGTATGTAAATATGAATTGGAGAGGAAGAATGTAATATTATGTTAATTTATGTTGAGGACATATTGACATCATTGGCTGTCACATGTTGAAGATAAATGTTTCATTTTTATTGTGGGAAAGGGCAGCCAAATTTTTGTCATCTTATTTTGATTTTTAACTGGATATGTCAGGCTTTTTATAAGACAGGTAGTAGAATCCACCAAAATGGCATAATGTCAGTTATGGACTGTCCTAGTCTTAGTATTGTTTTATTATGTGGTCAAAATGTTCAAGATTTAAAAATCTAGATTTTTTTTAATACTGAAAAACAAGCAAAAATAGAAGTGGAAACTGCTAATGTTTACTTACAGACAAATCTGCTTCATCTTTCTTGCCCTTTAGATCAGGAGATTTAGAGTTGAAAGGAATTGGAGTTCTCTGGCCCTTGTTTGGTGTTGACATGACAGGGGCTGTAGGCTTTTTGTAAGGGCTGATATTTTGCTGAGGTTTCACTGTATAGGGATAAACAAAATGTAAGGTGTTAGATCCATTGTGTGCTCATGTACTTGTCATAGACCTAAGAAAGATTCTTTCATGCATGGTATATTAAAGGAAGTTACAATCATGCTCTTAGGTAATCTAAACCATAACACATGCTAGAACAAATTATACGTTTCAGAGACTAGATCAATTTAGTTAATCTTTTATTTGTTTATTGGAGGTCAGTAATTACATTTGAACAATTTAAATAAAAGTATTTTAAAAAATATTTCCCTTTTAAATATTGACAACATGAGAAAGTATAGACAATATAAAAATGTGATAAAACTGTGCTGTGACTTAGTGTGTACAAGAAATTAAAGCTGGTGGATTTTGTTCATGAAAATATACATGGTTAAGGTTCAAGTACAATCATGCTGATAAATTTCAAGCATTTTAGACTGCTAGGATTAGACCAACCATATCCAATTCTTGAATTGTAAGACTCATCCATGGCGCCAACCATGTCAACACTGCCATCACGTTCATCCTCATCCACAGCGGTCAGCATTTTGCCTGCAAACACACAAGCAAACTCAAAAATGCACAAACATGCTGTTAAAATTATTGACATTTTTTACCAGCTTCCGTTGACAAGATTTAGAATGTTAGAAATAAACCAAACCTCACAATTTTTATTTGACAACACTGGTTGGTTAAAACTATCTTGTCGCTCTCATTAAATTAAATTTACCAATTTAATATTATGCAATTAGTCATAAATTCACTTTAAAAACATTAGTGACACGTTTTAATTCCATTTGACTTAGTTCAAGATGCAGGACAACACTGAAAGTTAAAACTATTCAACAGAAGTTTCATAATAAAAATGTAATTAGCGAGACAGATAACTAGAGAATATGGTAAAACTGTAAACAAGTGAATGTGTGCTCCAGTGTAAACAATAAACTATCACACCTAGACACAGAGGTAAACATTTTGTTTTCTATTGCCTACAACACACATCAGGGAAAACAAAAGCTAGTTTTAAACCACAGGGTCATTATTTCAACTACATTAAAAAGGTCAATATTCATGAAACCAAAAGGTCATTATTCCTACTACAATTAAACCAAAATGTCATTATTCCTGCCGCATAGAACTCAAAGAACTTAAATTTTTAACTAATGCCCAACAAGAATCTAAACAATAACTGACTGCTTGCATATGCAAGTTTTTAACCAAGTATACCTTTTCTCAAGTATATTTTATAAGTATACTTTTTCTCAAGTATATTTTATAAGCATACTTTTTCTCAAGTATATTTTATAAGTATACTTTTTCCATACTGATTCACCAATTCTACAATATATGACAAGCTAGCCATTCTGATTTGAGTTTGTTTTTTTAAACTCATTCTACATTTGTGAACTCTTCTGTCTTAGAGTTAGACTAATAATAAAATAAACAAACAATGTGGTTGAGTATATAGGTATATAGGCAAGTGAAGAAAGTAAAAAAGACAACAATATCCAATGGATACGTAACACAGCATGCTGTATTAGTAGCAAAACTAGACACACCCTTACTGGAAGGTGGGCACGTGTGGGGCAGGTCCCCAGCGTTGACCCGTGCTGCGCTGGTGTACTGCGTGTTGTACTGTGTACGTGGGTAGATGGGCCGCATTCCCAGCTGTCCGTTACCACTATTGTCCCCGTACTGGAGAATGTGGCCATTGGGTGCGGCAGTCACTGTGGCTATGGCTGTCAAACAGAAATCATCACATTACTCACATTATTCTCTATAACTTTATAACATAATTTAGACAATTCTCTATATCTTTAATGTAAATTGGTTATTACTATTAAGGGAACATGAAGGAGATAGATGGAAGAAGAAAAAGTGCAGGCTACTGGCAAGACCTGGCATGAACTAAAGTGGCTCGCACAAGACAGAGTGGAATGGCAGAGATTTGTTGTTGCCCTATACTCCACAAGGAGTGACGAGGATTAAGTTAAGTAAGTATCACTATTAAAGTATTATTTTTATAAATAATAAAAAAAAATTCTAAAAAAATTTGAATTCAATTAAATAAGGGAACAGATACTGGGTTTTTATTTAAATATTTTCATCAGACCTAAAGTCTAAAAATTAAATTCTATTTTAGGTTTTTAAATTTTTTTTTTTTAAGTTTTATTTAGACAAAAAAGGGGGATAATTCATCTAAAGGGGCAATGACATGGTTAGAGTAGTTTAACCAAGAGTAATATCTTAGACTCAAAAAACAAAACTTACGTTCCCTAAAGGACAACTGGTTATCCATTGGCAGTGCTACAGGTTTTGGTCGGATGAGATTCCTGGGCTGGATGGGCTGGTACCTCTCCTCCCCACTGGATGGGTAGCCGCGGTCATCTGGGGAGAGGTCAAACATGTCACGTTTGTGGCATCATGAACAACATACAGCATCCATTGTCAACACAATGACAATAGTATGGAGAAAGTGCTTGAAAACTGAAACCAGTCCACATCAGTTGGTTCAAGTCTTTTTTTGTTTAAAATTGCACCCAATGAGTTGGTTCAAGTCTTTTTTGTTTAAAATTGCACCAAATGAGTTGGTTCAAGTCTTTTTTGTTTAAAATTGCACCAAATGAGTTGGTTCAAGTCTTTTTTGTTTAAAATTGCACCAATATGAGTTGGTTCAAGTATTTTTTGTTTAATATTGCACCAAATGAGTTGGTTCAAGTCTTTTTTGTTTAAAATTGCACCATACGAGTTGGTTCAAGTCTTTTTTGTTTAAAATTGCACCATACGAGTTGGTTCAAGTGTACGGTGCTCCTGTGTCCACCCCAGATGCTGTGTCCAAAAAACAAACTCTATTTGATCTGCCGTACTAACATATACATCCTAAAGATACTTTATTGCCGCATATCACATTATTTTTTTGTACAAGCCCATGTTTTTTGTTCAATATCTCCCTGCCCTAACTGAAAGCTGAACCTACCAACAAAAGAGTTGCGCCTTCGATCAAGTGTTGAGGCCTGGTCATCCGTGTGGTCAGCTGATCCCCTTGACCCCCGCCTGAGTGTGCTGGTGGCCACTGAAGCGGAACTCTCGCTGCGGTTGGACCTCTCCATCTTGTGGAGCTCGAGGTGGCTGTTGGGCTGGTGGATCCACAGGTCAGGTGGTTTAACACTGGGGGGTGGCACCTTACTGGCCTTCACTGGGATCTTGGTTTGGCTGAGGAAATATGCTAGAGGTCAGGTGGTTTAACAGTTTAACACTGGGGGGTGGCACCTTACTGGCCTTCACTGGGATCTTGGTTTGGCTGAGGAAATATGCTAGAGGTCAGGTGGTTTAACACTGGGGGGTGGCACCTTACTGGCCTTCACTGGGATCTTGGTTTGGCTGAGGAAATATGCTAGAGGTCAGGTGGTTTAACACTGGGGGGTGGCACCTTACTGGCCTTCACTGGGATCTTGGTTTGGCTGAGGAAATATGCTAGAGGTCAGGTGGTTTAACACTGGGGGGTGGGACCTTACTAGCCTTCACTGGGATCTTGGTTTGGCTGAGGAAATATGCTAGAGGTCAGGTGGTTTAACACTGGGGGGTGGCACCTTACTGGCCTTCACTGGGATCTTGGTTTGGCTGAGGAAATATGCTAGAGGTCAGGTGGTTTAACACTGGGGGGTGGCACCTTACTGGCCTTCACTGGGATCTTGGTTTGGCTGAGGAAATATGCTAGAGGTCAGGTGGTTTAACACTGGGGGGTGGCACCTTACTGGCCTTCACTGGGATCTTGGTTTGGCTGAGGAAATATGCTAGAGGTCAGGTGGTTTAACACTGGGGGGTGGCACCTTACTGGCCTTCACTGGGATCTTGGTTTGGCTGAGGAAATATGCTAGAGGTCAGGTGGTTTAACACTGGGGGGTGGCACCTTACTGGCCTTCACTGGGATCTTGGTTTGGCTGAGGAAATATGCTAGAGGTCAGGTGGTTTAACACTGGGGGGTGGCACCTTGCTAGTCTTCACTGGGATCTTGGTTTGGCTGAGGAAATATGCTAGAGGTCAGGTGGTTTAACACTGGGGGGTGGCACCTTACTGGCCTTCACTGGGATCTTGGTTTGGCTGAGGAAATATGCTAGAGGTCAGGTGGTTTAACACTGGGGGGTGGCACCTTACTGGCCTTCACTGGGATCTTGGTTTGGCTGAGGAAATATGCTAGAGGTCAGGTGGTTTAACACTGGGGGGTGGCACCTTACTGGCCTTCACTGGGATCTTGGTTTGGCTGAGGAAATATGCTAGAGGTCAGGTGGTTTAACACTGGGGGGTGGCACCTTACTGGCCTTCACTGGGATCTTGGTTTGGCTGAGGAAATATGCTAGAGGTCAGGTGGTTTAACAGTTTAACACTGGGGGGTGGCACCTTACTGGCCTTCACTGGGATCTTGGTTTGGCTGAGGAAATATGCTAGAGGTCAGGTGGTTTAACACTGGGGGGTGGCACCTTACTGGCCTTCACTGGGATCTTGGTTTGGCTGAGGAAATATGCTAGAGGTCAGGTGGTTTAACACTGGGGGGTGGCACCTTACTGGCCTTCACTGGGATCTTGGTTTGGCTGAGGATATATGCTAGAAGTCAGGTGTGGACAGTGTGGTAAAATAGTACAGAATACGACTGCTGACCCAGAAGTCTTAAGTTCATAGAACATCCTTGAGAACACCCAGCTCACAGGACTTGTGTTAAGGAAATTAAAGGCAGCTGGGCATAGTGTTGACCACACTATCCATTTATATGCTGAGGACACATAAACAGGTGAACTCTATTTCACCTGCTCCCATTGACTGTTAGGTTCAAAGGGGTACTTAACTTTTTTTCTATTATAATATAAACAACAGATTAAAAGTTTGGTAGTTTCTATTAAGTAAAAATATACTGATCATAAAAGGACAAGTTTTCAGGCTAACATAATTAATATTAAGTTAATATAACTAATGTGACTTAATTTAGATTAAGTTAATATAATTAATGTAACTTTAATTTATATTAAGTTAATATAATTAATGTAACTAATTAATTAATTGTTGGCTCTGATAAATATATGCATTGACCATAGAATCTTCCAAAATGTTTTAATAATAACAACTTACCCAGCAGCCCTGTTGCCACGGCAGCGACACAAACAAACAATGATGACGATGACAACTGTACAGAAGACAAAGCCAGCAACGCAGGCAGCAATGATGATGATGACATTGGTCGTCAGCCCCTTCTCCTTCTCATCATTGTTTTTGTCAGGGTTGGCCACTGGAAGGGGAGATAACAAAGATATCAGTCAACTGCTGGGGGAGGGGAGGGGGGGGGAATGTTGCAGTCTGGCTAAATAGCAAAAAAAGTCCTGAAATCTGACCCCTTGGCAGATGAGACTCATTAGGTAGGGAGAACAATTCACATGCAAGAGAAAACTCCAAAATTAAATAACTGCTGCATTGCAGATTGTTCTTGGATGGACAAAGGCTATGGAAGTAAATCTAGAAACAAAAAACAGGCTGAAGTAGGAGTCGACAGATCATGTAGTGCATATCATGTTGACATGTAGTACTTAATAGTGTTGGAGGAAATCCCCCTTCAATGTTAGAATTAAGAGTGAATAGAAGGAAGAAAGAATCAACTTGTCAGCCTTGTCCCCTCTAAAGGAGAAAACAAAAGACACGCATCAAACAACAACACACACCACTGGGCTGGATCTAGAACTGTAACCATGGTTACCTGAAGGGGTGATGTAGGTCACCTTCTGTGACTTGGGACTGAAACCTTTAGAGTTCCTGGCTTGCACCATAAAGTGGTACTTGGTGTCTGGGGTCAGCTTGTCTATCACAGTGGACAACCTGGGGGAAATGACCAACAGCATTGTGATACAGGTTGCAGCAGTAAAGAAACATTGTAAATACAAAACCACCATGTAGCTAAAACATTAAGGTCAGAAAACAGAACAATTGTACAACGCCATCATACAGGGTAACTTAGCACAAGGTCCCCCAAAAACATCATCAAAGCCTGACCTCCTGACAAAGTTGGGTTAATCACTTACAAATTCTACTTCAAATTATCTACTAAACACAATGTTTCTATTGATCCTGGGTTAAGAATAAATATCAAACTCTAAACTAATAAACAATGAAGTGACTTTAAATAATAAATATATTGATCATTAGTTTTTTTCTATACAAGTAGCTCTAAGACTTCTTATAAAAACTAGAAATACAAATATTTTCCAAATCTACACTTAACACAGAGTGCTAACATATTTAGCTACCAACTGTAAGTTACATCACCAGAGATGTGACAACTGAATTAATGGTTTTCATGCAGTAGAAAGGGTGATTTGCCTGACATCTTCAAGAAATGCTAAGGTTTGCCAGATGGATTTAAAAACTGTCAAGGAAATATTTGTCTAAACAAAGTTCAAATGCTAATATTGTAAAATTTCAACAGAATCAAATTATTTTTAGAAAAACATGCTTTTAAGAGAAAAATATGATTTTTACTTTCTCGTATATAAGAAGTATAGAGAAAGTGATACTGAAAAATATAATTTTTCAATCTTGTCCTTTTGTCTGTGTGTGTGTGTGTAAACACGATAACTTGAGTACCGTTACAGCTAGGTTGATGAAATTTCATATATAAGTATTTTATCAAAATCGTAGATCCGTATCAACTTTTGAGCGATTTCCGATAACCGGAAGTGGTACTTTTTTTTACTTTGAATTTTTCAAAAGCCTATACCTTGAGTACTATTTCAGATAGATAAATAAAATTTCACATGTAAGTAAAAGATCTAATTCTCTACCTTCTATCAAATTTTGAGTAATTTCCGTTGACCGGAAGTACTAATTTACGCTATTTCCAATTTCTCAAAAAACTCATGTAAATTTATAAAGTACTAATATGCACATTTTGTTTTGGCGTTCGCTTGGTGCACAATTCTTTTTTCTACTAGATTCTATTCTATTTTTAAAAGTTTAAATAAACAAAAATCATGTCTATATTCCGAGTTGCCATCCCACGTAGTGTTATATTAGCTTATTTGAGAAAGTTTAGGGGAGATCACTCCCGGTTTATTTTTAATGCAAAAGGAACAGCTACATTTGAGCATAAAAAAATGAAGTGGTGTGAAGTGGATGATTCTGACCAGCTGACTGGCTAGAACTTACTTGTCTCCTACAACACCCTCAACTGGCCACATCTTCTCGTCCGTGTGGTCATCTGTGGAGTAGTAGATGAGGTAGCCGGTGATCTGACCATTGGGTTTGGACGGTGGCTGCCAGTTCAAGGTCAGGAGGAGAGGGTTGTTCTCATCTGGCACAGGTGTCAGGTCTCTGGGTTCTGTGCTGGGCTCTGGTCACAGGAGATGACATATGACATGAGATGACATGTGACATGAGATGACATATGACATGAGATGACATGTGACATGAGATGACAGGAGGTGACATATGACATGAAATGGCAGGAGGTGACATATGACATGAGATGACAGGAGGTGACATATGACAGGAGATGGCAGGAGGTAACATATGACATGAGATGACAGGAGGTGATAGTTGACATGAGATGACAGGAGGTGACATATGACATGAGATGACAGGTGACATATGGTATGAGATGACAGGTAACATATGGCATGAGATGACAGGAGGTGACATATGGCAGGTGATGAGATGACATGAGATGACATGTGACATGAGATGGCAGGAGGTGACATGAGATGACAGGATGAAATTATGGTAACATTACATCAACATGATAGTAAAAAAGAATTGTTTATTTGTGTTATTTGAAAATATACTTAATTATTTTCACCCATTTCACAACTCAAATAGTTTAGTTGAAGCCAGAGGGTTACTTAAGGGTATGGGCATGTGATGGAAACCAAATGAGCCAAAATGCTTATTTCTAAACCCCCGAGTAACTTAGACAATTGTCTTTTACCTGCTTCATCAGTTTTGTTCACGACGGTCATACTGTAATCAGATTCACGTCGACCTTTGATGACCTTGACCATGAACTCATACTCAGTATGTGGACGCAACCCATCAATGTGACAGTTCAAATCAGTAGCATTAATATATCTGTAGGACAACATATTTTTCACAGAATATTTCACAAAAACATTTGCCGTAAAATCTTGTTTTCTTCATGTACACAAATAGTAAATACTAATTTCGCTATAAACCCACCTACTAATTCTATTATAAACCTACCCATTCAAAGCTCTGAAACTTAACTCATTGACAGCTTTAAAATCCCACCTATTCAAACCAATTAAAAACCACCCATTCATGACACAAAATCCCACAAATTCATACCACAAAAACCAATTAATTCACACCATTAAAACACACCAAATAACATCACACAAAAAAAAAACCTACCAACGCACTCTAAAACCCACCTTTCCATACCTCTAAAACCCACCCATTCACACCTCTAACCCCCCTCCCCACACCAAAAACCCACCTTTCCATACCTCTAAATCCCACCTTTTCCATATCTCTAAAACCCACCCCATCCCACTTCTAATCCCCCCCCCCACCAAAAACCCACCCATCACACATCTAACCCCCCCCCCCTCACCTAAAACCCACCCATACACACCTCTAACATCCCCCCCCTCACCAAAAACCCACCTATACTTGACTTGTCTGCTGGCTTGTCTGTACTTGATGGTGTAGTAGCGGTTGTCTGTGATCTTCTGGTTCTTGCTGAGAGAGTTATCTGACCATGTCAGGAGGATTGTGTGGTGGGACAGGACGTGGGCATTTAGGCCAATAGGTGGCAGCATGGGTGTGGCAAACTCCACTTCTGATGGAAGAAATTCACAAAGTTACATTCACTCTAAATGTTTGCCTTGTAATAATTGTACAATTTTCAACCCCACAACATCACTAATGAAAAAATCAAGAAAAAGATCAAGAAAAATGGGAGACCAAAAAACACCAGGCACAAAACAATAGAAATTAAATTTATTGAAAAGAAATTGAAAAAAAAAATGCCATAGATAGAAAAGCATTAAATATGTTATAAATGACCTATGCTCCTTGAGAGTTGAGAAAGGGTGAAGAAGAAGAAAAATCATAAAATTAAAGTACTTCAAATATCAATTCTGCATCCAGGTATTCAAAAGACGTCATTTTAAATAAAAAGATTGTTACATAAACTGACCTGTTTCATCTGGGGTTATGACAGTCTCGTATCTACTGGGACCTTGACCCAAAGCATTGAAGGCTCGTATGGTGATGACATACTGAGAACTTGGCTCTGTTTAGTATGTAAAATTTGTGTGACCTTTTTTAATTGAAGTACTATGCCAAAAGTAATAAAATCTGTTACTTAAATTTACACACAAAAAATACAATTAGATTAAAAAGTGGTTTAAAATCTATATAATCATTCTAACATTTTTAAACATTTAAAAAAAATAATAATGGCAAGCATTAAAATTATGGTTACATTTTTTAAAAGTAAAGTCATTTTGGAACCATCAATTGCACTCACTTTCATATTTTTGTATTAAGGATAACCCATTGAAAATTAATTAAGATTTATTTTACCAATTAAAATATTTTAAGGAACTGTCCAGTAACTATCATTGGGTCATCCAGAGGGAGTGGCCAGGGAAATTAAAACAATGGAAATGACAACAATTGTTTTACAAGATTAAATAAACATAGCATACACGGTGACAAAAAATAAACTTTTTCAGTTCAGATTCAAGATGTTAAAAATTCATTAGCATATCGTTTTATTGCAATGGTCACACCATTTTAAGCTAATAATTACTTGTTTAAATATTTTGAGCCGAAGTTATTTTAGAGTTACTTCAAAAATGTTAATAAAATATTTGATTTGGTTGAAAAATAAGCTTTCTGGCAACTACAATTTTAAACCACTTTTTAAGCCTATAGTACTTTTTTCATTTGTGAGAGTAAAGATAAGACATGCACATACATTAACATAATTTAAAAAATATTGAAGTGTAACATCACATACGCAAATTCTGTATGTGGTACTGGTGTGTATTAGCATCCAGTGAATGTTTGTAGACATCTGCAATGCCCTTCCCATAGCCCAGCACATAGCCTCTGACTAGAATTTTACTGTGTGGGGGTGGGGGAGCCCAAGACACTAGGATAGAGTTGGCTTTAGGTTGGGCATACAGTTTGGCTGGCTCTGGTGGCACTGTTGTTTCTGAAATTTAAAAAAACAGAATCTATTTTGCCAGGTGAAACAAAAATTTAAATAGAACTATTTTTTTTTGAAAAACCTTAAGTTTCCCTAAGTGAAACAAATATTTATTAAAATATTTAATGAATAGTATTTCATTCTATATACTGCAAGATTTCAAAAAAGAAATCATAAAAAGTAAACAATAAACTGAAAGGCTGATAGTAAAAGTGAATGAAATGAATATTGTGACTAACCTTGCAAGTCATCCTTGTATGTTGTGATGTGCTCCCACGGGGTGAGGGGGCCGGAGCCATTGACTGTGATGGCTGAGATCCTGAACATGTAGTCTGTACCCTCAGACAGGTCTAGTGGACACAAGCAAGTTACATGGGACTTTAGACACAATAGAGTTACATGAGACTTTGGGCACACAAGTTACATGAGACTTTGGGTAAGTTACATGAGACTTTGGGCACACAGTTAAGTTACAGGAGACTTTAGACACAATAGAGTTACTACTTCAAACTACAGGTGTATCTTCTAGGTCTATCCTAACTAAAGGTGTATCTTCAAGTTTCCATACAATCATAGGTGTATCTATCTCGGTACACTAAAGTGTATTACATATGCCCTAACCATGTGTATCTGTCTTGGTCCCCCCCCCCCCCCCCCCACTAATCACAAGTGTACCTGTACACAGGTGTATCTGTTGACTTACTGGTGACAGAGTACGAGTTCCTGTCTCCATCAGTTGGCACAGTTTGAGCTGGCTCACCCTTGGCCTTGACCCTGATCTTGTAGCCTGTGATGATCCCATTCTGCTTTGTCTCAGGTGGGGGCTGCCATCTCACCACCACAGACTGGAAGTTTGTCATGCACATCATCAGTTACATCATCACATCACTCACATCAGTCACATCATCAATCACATCATCAATCACATCATCACATCACTTCACTCACATCATCACTCACATCACTTCATCACTCACATATGTCCACATCACTAACACGTCATATGACCCAACAAAAATATTGATCAGATTCTAACAATGAATATTTAATGTTAGTTATGCATTTGCTGTCAGCATTATATTTGTTTAATATTCTGATTACAGTCAAATTTGACGTCCATAAATAATTTATTTTATATTCTAAAACAGGTATGAAATAGAAATGTAAATTCCCCAATATAATAAACTAATTATAATCACACAAAAAAATGACTCACGGTAGAGCTGGTCAGTTCAAGTGTGAAGTTTTGTGGGGTGTCAGTGGGCACGTCCGAGTAGGTTCTAGCAAAGACTTCGGAGGTGCTGACTCCCCTGCCATTCTCATTGTTGGCCTCCACCCTAAAGCTGTATTCACCTGTAGCATAGGTACAGGTAGGTTCAACAGTTAGGTGACCAATGAACAACAGGTAAAACATGACACAAGCAAGAAACATGGGTGTAACGATACCAGAATACACAAGAAATTTGTGGCTTAAGATTAGCAGGGAGAGAAACTTACGGAACTTTTGTAGTTTGTTGAGTGTAAGAGACGTAAGATTAGCAGGGAGAGAAACTTACGTAACTTTTGTAGTTTGTTGAGTGTAAGAGACGTAAGATTAGCAGGGAGAGAAACTTACGGAACTTTTGTAGTTTGTTGAGTGTAAGAGACGTAAAATTAGCAGGGAGAGAAACTTACGGAACTTTTGTAGTTTGTTGAGTGTAAGAGACGTAAGATTAGCAGGGAGAGAAACTTACGGAACTTTTGTAGTTTGTTGAGTGTAAGAGACGTAAAATTAGCAGGGAGAGAAACTTACGGAACTTTTGTAGTTTGTTGAGTGTAAGAGACGTAAGATTAGCAGGGAGAGAAACTTACGGAACTTTTGTAGTTTGTTGAGTGTAAGAGACGTAAGATTAGCAGGGAGAGAAACTTACGGAACTTCTGTAGTTTGTTGAGTGTAATAGACGTAAGATTAGCAGGGAGAGAAACTTACGGAACTTCTGTAGTTTGTTGAGTGTAAGAGACGTAAGATAATCAGGGAGAGAAACTTACGGAACTTCTGTAGTTTGTTAAGAGTGACTGAAGTTTCTTTAGTTGAGATTTGGTTCTCTGAGCCTGACTTCACCTGAAACACAGGAATCAACTTTCTACAATCAACTTTCTATACAGCCAGCTATCAACTTTCTATACAGCCAACTATCAACTTTCTACATATCCAGATATCAACTTTCTACAATCAAATTTCAACACAAGTTTTCTAAACCACAAGATTTCATGTTTCACTAGGTCTAACCTAGCTTTCTATCTATCAAATCTCTGCACAATTTTTTTGGTATATGTCATCACTTATCAACTTTCTCTTAGCACAGTCAATCAACTTTCCTCCTTCAGAATAAGGTCATCAGCTTACACTTTTACAACTCAAAGCACTATTCTCTAATACAAAGTTTAAGTAGGCTACCTAGAACAATTTTTTTAAATATTATAAACAACTGTGTGGTATTTTGATGTTTATTACTAAAGAAGGTAAAATAAACCTACCATATAAGTATATCAAAGTATAATGCTTAGTGTAGGTTAAAGTAAACTTACCCTATAGTATATAAGTATAATGCTTAGAGTAGGTAAACCTACCATATAGTATATCAAAGTATAATGCTTAGTGTAGGTAAAAGTAAGCCTACCATATTGTATAATGCTTAGTGTAGGTAAACCTACCATATAGTATATCAGCGTATAATGCTTGATGTAGCTAAACCTACCATATAGTATATCAGCGTATAATGCTTGATGTAGGTAAACCTACCATATAGTATATCAGCGTATAATGCTTAGTGTAGGTAAACCTACCATATAGTATATCATCGTATAATGCTTAGTGTAGGTGAACCTACCATATAGTATATCAGCTTATAATGCTTAGTGTAGGTGAACCTACCATATAGTATATCAGCGTATAATGCTTGATGTAGTTAAACCTACCATATAGTATATCAGCTTATAATGCTTAGTGTAGGTGAACCTACCATATAGTATATCAGCGTATAATGCTTGATGTAGGTAAACCTACCATATAGTATATCAGCGTATAATGCTTAGTGTAGGTAAACCTACCATATAGTATATCAGCTTATAATGCTTGATGTAGGTAAACCTACCATATAGTATATCAGTGTATAATGCTTAGTGTAGGTGAACCTACCATATAGTATATCAGTGTATAATGCTTAGTGTAGGTGAACCTACCATATAGTATATCAGCGTATAATGCTTGAAGTAGGTAAACCTACCATATAGTATATCAGCGTATAATGCTTGATGTAGGTAAACCTACCATATAGTATATCAGTGTATAATGCTTAGTGTAGGTGAACCTACCATATAGTATATCAGCGTATAATGCTTGATGTAGGTAAACCTACCATATAGTATATCAGCGTATAATGCTTAGTGTAGGTAAACCTACCATATAGTATATCAGCGTATAATGCTTGATGTAGGTAAACCTACCATATAGTATATCAGCGTATAATGCTTGATGTAGGTAAACCTACCATATAGTATATCAGCGTATAATGCTTGATGTAGGTAAACCTACCATATAGTATATCAGTGTATAATGCTTAGTGTAGGTGAACCTACCATATAGTATATCAGCGTATAATGCTTAGTGTAAACCTACCATATAGTATATCAGCGTATAATGCTTAGTGTAAACCTACCATATAGTATATCAGCGTATAATGCTTAGTGTAAACCTACCATATAGTATATCAGCGTATAATGCTTGATGTAGGTAAACCTACCATATAGTATATCAGCGTATAATGCTTGATGTAGGTAAACCTACCATATAGTATATCAGCGTATAATGCTTGATGTAGGTCAACCTACCATATAGTATATCAGCGTATAATGCTTAGTGTAGGTAAACCTACCATATAGTATATCAGCATATAATGCTTAGAGTAGGTAAACCTACCATATAGTATATCAGCGTATAATGCTTAGTGTAAACCTACCATATAGTATATCAGCGTATAATGCTTAGTGTAAACCTACCATATAGTATATCAGCGTATAATGCTTGATGTAGGTAAACCTACCATATAGTATATCAGCGTATAATGCTTAGTGTAGGTAAACCTACCATATAGTATATCAGCTTATAATGCTTGATGTAGGTAAACCTACCATATAGTATATCAGCGTATAATGCTTAGTGTAGGTAAACCTACCATATAGTATATCAGCATATAATGCTTGATGTAGGTAAACCTACCATATAGTATATCAGCGTATAATGCTTGATGTAGGTAAACCTACCATATAGTATATCAGTGTATAATGCTTGATGTAGGTAAACCTACCATATAGTATATCAGTATATAATGCTTAGTGTAGGTAAACCTACCATATAGTATATCAGTATATAATGCTTAGTGTAGGTAAACCTACCATATAGTATATCAGCGTATAATGCTTGATGGTGCCTTTAGGCTCCACAGGAGGCTGCCACTTGACCTGGATCTCAGTAGAGGACAAGGTGACCGCCTGGAGATTGACCGGGGGACTTGGGACAGACACTGTGGACATACAACTTGGTCAGATGGGTGCATGACTACACAAACTTGTCATTTTAGTGCTAACATTCATAACTTTATTATCCAATATGAAAAATAGATTTTGAGGAAAAAAAAACCTAATGATGGGTCAGCTAGAATTGGACAACGTACCATCCTCCTCTGTTGTGATGGAAACTTTGGCCTCCCTCTTGCTGTAGCCCTTGTTGTAGGAGCGGACACGGAACTCGTACTGAGTCTTTGGCTTGAGGCCGTTGATGGTCAGCTCCGGCACCGTCGTGTTGCTCACTCTCTCCCTGTGTCACAGTAGCACAACATGACAACTTTTGTGATGTCACATGACAACTTGTGTGATGTCACATGACAACTTTTGTGATGTCACATGACAACTTTTGTGATGTCACATGACAACTTTTGTGATGTCACATGACAACTTTTGTGATGACACATGATGATAGCACAACATGACAACTTTTATAATGTCACATGACAACTTTTGTGATGTCACATGACAACTTTTGTGATGTCACATGACAACTTTTGTGATGTCACATGACAACTTTTGTGATGACACATGATGATAGCACAACATGACAACTTTTGTAATGTCACATGACAACTTTTGTGATGTCACATGACAACTTTTGTGATGTCACATGACAACTTTTGTGATGTCACATAACTTTTGTGATGACACATGATGATAGTACAACATGACAACTTTTGTAATGTCACATGACAACTTTTGTGATGTCACATGACAACTTTTGTGATGTCACATGACAACATTTGTAATGTCACATGACAACTTTTGTGATGTCACATGACAACTTTTTTGATGTCACATGACAACTTTTGTGATGTCACATGACAACTTTTGTGATGTCACATGACAACTTTTGTGATGACACATGATGATAGCACAACATGACAACTTTTGTAATGTCACATGACAACTTTTGTGATGTCACATGACAACTTTTGTGATGTCACATGACAACATTTGTAATGTCACATGACAACTTTTGTGATGTCACATGACAACTTTTGTGATGACACATGATGATAGCACAACATGACAACTTTTGTAATGTCACATGACAACTTTTGTGATGTCACATGACAACTTTTGTGATGTCACATGACAACATTTGTAATGTCACATGACAACTTTTGTGATGTCACATGACAACTTTTGTAATGTCACATGATGATAGCACAACATGACAACTTTTGTAATGTCACATGTCAACTTTTGTAATGTCACATGACAACTTTTGTAATGTCACATGACAACTTTTGTGATGTCACATGACAACTTTTGAGATGTCACATGACAAGTGTCACATGGTAATAGCACATCATCACATGAAATAAGAACAGCTTACAATAACAATTAGATGCACTGTCAACACAGAACTACTAAAGAAAATTTCTGTTATCCAGGACTTGACTGGATGTCATTAACAATATGGAAAAATACAATGGTTCCTATCTTCCAATATCAACAAGATGTAAAAAAAAAAACACTGGGTGCTATCTTTCAATATTGCAATGGATCCTATCTTTCAATGTAAAAAAGACAAAAAAAAACAATGGGTCCTATCATTCAATATCAACAAAACATACATATTACAATGGGTCCTTTCAATATCTTTCAATATCAACAAAACATTGGGTGCTATCTTTCAATATCAACAATGCATACAAATTACAATGGGTCCTATTTTGAAATGTATCCCTACATGAAACAAAGAACTGGCCTTGACCTTACCTCTCTGAGCCAATCTCCTTCCAGTAAACAGTGAAAGTTATATTTCTGTTGCCTTGGAGATCAAAGACTTCCGAGCTGTTTGGGATCTCCCACTTGAGAGTGACAAACCTAATCCTGACAATGGCGGCTCGGAGGTTGATGGGTGCAGGGGCAGTAGAGGAGTACATCTCGTACAGGGAGCCTGCTGTCAGAGGAAAAGGGTGGGAGTGGAAGACGGAGTTTTGGGGGGCTACTTGGTGGTACACCACGCCATGTTTTATAGATTCCACGTCCACGTCAAAAAATTTTGTTTTATCAAATTTTTAAAAGTTGATTCAGTCGAAAAATAAAAGTGGATTAATATTAATAAAAATTGTAGAAAAAAAAATTGTTTACAACATAGAACACACAACAAATTGAAAAATGAAAATAAAATAAAAATTAATTAGACGAATAAAGAAAAATATTAATTAATTAAAACAAGCAAAATAAAAATTTGTTAAGATGCAATCATTGAGTTTAAAAAGCATTCAAGTGGAAAATTTTAAAATCATTTGCAAGAATCAAAATCATTTTTAAAAAGAAAAATTAATTTTTTATGGTTTATGAAATTAAAATGAGGATTTGAAAAAATATTAATTGATTTTGTATTGATTGAACGGCACACAAAAAAGTTTTTTGTTGATATTTAATAAATATTTTAACAAAGAGGTGTGGTCGGGGTGAAGTGGTCAAGCAAGGTGGGCAGTGATTGGGTGGGTGGAGGGGAAGAGAGGGGAACAAAAAAAAGGAAAACAAAAAAACTGAATAATGCGTGAAAAAACAACAATAATTGAAACAAAAAAATTCTACAGATATTAGAAAAGAAAAACCACACACTCACACACATAACAGGCAAACTAATAAATCTAAGTGACACGTTAGGTTACTGCATGACAATGTGACTATGTGATAAGTTAATATGCGACAAAGTAGTTAATGATAAATTACTGTGATGAGCTACTGCGTGACGAAGTAAATGTGACAAGTTATATGTAACAAGTTACTATGTGATATTATAACTATGTGACATTGTAACAATATAGTATTGTAACTATGTGACATTTTAGTTATGTGACATTGTAACAAATAGCATTGTAACAATGTGACTTTGTAACAATGTGACATTTAACAATGTGGCATTGTAACAATGTGACTTTGTAACAATGTGACATTTAACAATGTGGCATTGTAACTAAGTTTCATTTTAGTTATGTGACATTGCAACAATATAGCATGATAAAAGAGTGATAAGCTACTCTGACAGTTTGCGAGTACAATATTCATTTAGTAACTACTATCTAGCCACTAGTAGTACAGTAGCCATGGCTACTGTAACAATGGCTACTGTAGCCATCAGTAACCATGGATACTGTAGCCATCAGTAGCCATAAATACTGTAGCCATCAGTAGCCATGGTTACAGTAGCCATCAGTATCCATGGCAACAATGAGCACATGTGATGACTAGTGTTAGTTCACTACCAGCTACTACAGATGAAACAAAAAACCAGTCAGTCAATCAAACCAGATGATCCACATTACAACTAGTCAACCATAGCCTAGACAACAATTCCCCCACCAAACCCCCTCCTACCAGATATCTTTACTAGTTTACTTCCTTAACATTTTTTTCTCTGAAAATAGTCTTACACTTATCCTACAAATACATCTTTAACAAGGAATTATTTTTGTACATAAAGGAAACGTTTTAAATAAAGTATATGTAGACAAATAGGCTGGCCGTTTTGTCCACACATGGGCCATCCTGTATATAGACAGATGGGCTGCAGGCAGTGGCGTAGCTAGGATTTTTGGGCCCTTATGCAAAAATTATCATTGGGCCCCTTCGTCAATCTGTAAAATGTGTTTGTAATAGGTCCTAACTGTGTATTTATGCGACGTTATTATGCAGTACCTCGTAACGTAAAACACCTTTGATTGTATATCAAGTTTATGTTAAAGCAAACTAACAACTTTTTCTAACACAGTAGCATCACAAGGCGGAGGCGGAGGTTTCACTATTTAGGAGTGACACCATGACGAAAAAGGGCCCCTATTTTCCTTGGGCCCCTATGCCTTGCTTACGCTAGCTTTATGGAAGCTACGCCACTGGCTGCAGGCCATCTTATCTATAGCCAGACAGGCTGTAGAACAACTTGTCTCTAGCCAGTCAAGCATGTATTTCTCTAGCACTGACCTTCCTGGGAAAGCAGCAACTGGGCTGTGGCCTGTGTACTGCCCACATCATTCTTGGCAAAACACTGGTACATGCCCTGGTCAGTGGGCAGCACCCCCAGCACCTGCAGGCTGCCCTGGGACTGGATCTGGAAGTAGTCACCATTGGTCACCACCTGACCATCTTTCACCCAGGTCACCTCAGGCTGGGGGATGCCTGTGGCCTTGCAGTCAAAAATCACATCTGTTTTCGGGTGAGCTAAAATATTCTTTGGTGTCACCACAAAACTTGGAGGAACTGAAACAAGATATGAGTTATAGATCTAAATCTTATGCACTATTTACTTGTATGACATTATTTAAAAAAAATATCATTGGGGTTTCATAATGAGCCTTAGTTCAGCATAGGTAGCAAAAGTTGAAACCTACTTTAAAACCTACCTAGAACAGCAAAACCTACCCAGGACAGCTAAAAACTAACTAGGACAACTGAAACCTACCCATAACAGCTGAAACCTACCAACTACAGCTGAAACCTACCAACTACAGCTGAAACCTACCAACTACAGCTGAAACCTACCAACTACAGCTGAAACCTACCAACTACAGCTGAAACCTATCAACTACAGCTGAAACCTACCTAGAACAGCTAAAACATACACAGGACAACTAAAACCTACCAATGACAGCTAAAACCTACCCAATAACAGCTGAAACCTACCAATAACAGCTGATACCTACCCAGGACAGCTAAAACCTACCAATGACAGCAAAAACCTACCCAATGAGAGCTGAAACCTACCTAGAACAGTCAGGGAGGCATCAGCATCCTCCGAGTCGATGGAGTTAACAGCCCTGCAGGTGTAGTCACCTGCGTCCTCCTCTGTGACAGCCTTGATGACCAGGGTACCTGTACCTTCTACGTGCATCTTGGTGCTGTTGGCCCTGGCGGATCAATCAACACAAACATGCTCAGTGGATCTCACATCAAATGTTAATAATTTATATGCTCTAAGTCTTGGGCATGATTGAGAAAAGATAATGATTGAATTCTATGAGCAAGCTGTTTGATTCACAATTGCACACATATTTTCAAAAACACATTTTAAAAAAAAATCTCTAAAATTATTCACAGACAATAGAGTACCCCCCCCCCCCACCCCCAATGATGAGAACCAGTATAGTGGATAAGTGTACCGATATTATACAGTGATATTAACGGACAAAAGCTTTTATTCGACCAAATGGCAAACAGGTAGGTAGAGTCGAGTTGTCTTCATGCCTACAACACAGTGTGTAATACTAACGAACCAGCAAAACTACCCAATACTTGGACTAGACACCTTACCACTACACCCCACCATTACACCCCACTACTACACCCCACCATTACACCCCACCATTAAACCCCACCACTACACCCCAACACTACACCCCACCATTACACCCAGACACCCCACCATTACACCCCAACACCCCACCATTACACCCCAACACCCCACCATTACACCCCAACACCCCACCATTAAACCCCACCACTACACCCCAACACCCCACCACTACACCCCACCATTACACCCCAACACCCCACCATTAAACCCCACTACTACACCCCAACACCCCACCATTACACCCCACCCCAACACCCCACCATTAAACCCCACCACTACACCCCAACACCCCACCATTACACCCCACCCCAACACCCCACCATTACACCCCAACACCCTACCCTACGCCCCACTACTACACCCAACACCCCACCATTACACCCCAACACCCCACCATTACACCCCAACACCCCGCCAGTACACCCCAACACCCCACCATTAAACCCCACCACTACACCCCAACACCCCACCACTACACCCTAACACCCCACCAGTACACCCCAACACCCCACCATTACACACCAACACCCCACCATTACACCCCAACACCCCACCACTACACCCCACCATTACACCCCAACACCCTACCCCTACGCCCCACTACTACACCCAACACCCCACTACTACACCCAACACCCCACCATTACACCCCAACACTCCACCAGTACACCCCACCACCCTACCCCTACACCCCACTACTACACCCAACACCCTACCATTACACCCCAACACCCCACCCTTACACCCCACCATTACACCCCACCACTACACCCCAACACCCCACCAGTACACCCCACCATTACACCCCAAAACCCCACCATTACACCCCAACACCCCACCACTACACCCCACCATTACACCCCAACACCCTACCCCTACGCCCCACTACTACACCCAACACCCCACTACTACACCCAACACCCCACCATTACACCCCAACACTCCACCACCCTACCCCTACGCCCCACTACTACACCCAACACCCTACCATTACACCCCAACACCCCACCACTACACCCCAACACCCCACCATTACACCCCAACACCCCACCATTACACCCCACCACTACACCCCAACACCCCACCACTACACCCCACCATTACACCCCACCATTACACCCCAACACCCCACCATTACACCCCAACACCCCACCACTACACCCCACCATTACACCCCAACACCCTACCCCTACGCCCCACTACTACACCCAACACCCCACTACTACACCCAACACCCCACCATTACACCCCAACACTCCACCACCCTACCCCTACGCCCCACTACTACACCCAACACCCCACCACTACACCCCAACACCCCACCATTACACCCCAACACCCCACCATTACACCATTACACCCCACCACTACACCCCAACACCCCACCACTACACCCCAACACCCCACCAGTACACCCCAACACCCCACCATTACACCCCAACACCCCACCACTACACCCCGCCATTACACCCCAACACTACACCCCAACACCCCACCAGTACACCCCACCATTACACCCCAAAACCCCACCATTACACCCCAACACCCCACCACTACACCCCACCATTACACCCCAACACCCTACCCCTACGCCCCACTACTACACCCAACACCCCACTACTACACCCAACACCCCACCATTACACCCCAACACTCCACCAGTACACCCCACCACCCTACCCCTACGCCCCACTACTACACCCAACACCCCACCATTACACCCCAACACCCCACCAGTACACCCCAACACCCCACCAGTACACCATTACACCCCACCATTAATCCCCAACACCCCACCATTACACCCCACCAGTACACCATTACACTTCAACACCCCACCATTACACCCCACCACTACACCCCACCACTTTGACAAGACCTATAAGAGAACTTTGTCTCCCACTCTCCAGAACATTCTGTTACACCTGCAGCAAATGTCAGGGTTTAAACAACAGAGGGGGGGGGGGGGGGGAGAGACAGCGTGCTGTCAAGTAAAAAAAAAAACTTTTAAAATTCTTATCTTTTGGAGATGTTGGAAGTGGAATCAAACCTGGGCAATTACTGAGAGGCGTCAAGATATAGTTAACAATCTTGTTGTAACGAAAGTAGCTCAGTAATTTGCTAACAAAAATTACAAATACTATATTATAAAGTAGCTCTATGTATTTAATCAATATTATAACGGCCTGCTATGAAAAGAAGATGCATTGAACACCCTAGGATTAGTTTACTGTGCGGTGCAGATAAAAGCTACAAGCAACAATTCAACTATTGGTAAAGTTTGAATTATCTCACATGGTCAATATTTTCCCTTAGCCCATGTTGTAAATGTTCCACGCAGCATCCAACAAAGGCGTCCGTCGTTAGTTTTCCTAACCAACGTTATTGAAAACAAATAGTTTGAAGAAGTTATTTCCCCTCCCGGCAGCCGGAATGGTTTATTTATCAACAGCCGAGCAAGATCTGCTTCTCTTCTATGCGGACTACAAAGTAACAAAAGGCCCGGGGTGGGGAGGGGGGGGGGGGCGCTGCACGTCACAGAGACCGGCAGACATTTTGTTACAGAGAGGAATTTAAACAGCGGCACCAGATGAATAGAGAAAATGGCGCGAGATGACCTTGACATAAGGGCAATAAACAAAAATAAACAGGAAATGACGCAAACAGCCCGGCAAGAATATCCAGTAAACAAAGCTGGCAGACGTACGGGTGTACGGAGTAAACTAAGCCTCGTTAACTCGGTCATGTTGGCCGCATCCAACTTCACGCAAGTTCATCAACGACACTTTGACTTCATCAACTGAATATGGCTTTAATTGTTAAGGAATACTTTCTTAGAATGGGCTAAAGCTTGCATCGTTTTAAGGGGGGATGTAACCAACCTGAATGCCATGTTGTTGTTTTTTAAAACAATTATTTCAGTTTGTGAATATACCACGGTGGCCGCGGTAAGTAAGCCGTACCACACGGGAAGTCAGCCGTACCACGTGGCAAGTAAGTCGTACAACGTGGGTAAGTCAGCCGTACCACGTACCGCACGGCAAGTCAGCCGTACCACGTACCGCACGGCAAGTCAGCCGTACCACGTGGGTAAGTCAGCCGTACCACGTACCGCACGGCAAGTCAGCCGTACCACGAACCGCACGGCAAGTCAGCCGTACCACATACCGCACGGCAAGTCAGCCGTACCACGTACCGCATGGTAAGTCAGCCGTACCACGTACCGTGCGGCAAGTCAGCTAAAGACGTAGAACGGGACTGGCAACCTGCTCCCTTCATTCGGACCGTATTACCACCTGAAGCAGTCACCCACCTACCCACCCAACCCACCTGAAGCAGTCACCCACCTACCCACCCACCCCACCTGAAGCAGTCACCCCCCACCCCACCTACCCACCCACAGCTGACCGCCACCAACAGAACGAACTGGCTGATGCTCACACAGTTTAGACATGTGGCCTGTCTGCCGGCCAGAATAAAATCCCACCCGATAAGTCCATCTGTGTTATTTTAAAGAGCAGCAGAGACTAATTGTTCCATCACTACAGCCTTCCCCACCCTGTTATTGTAGCCATCCCCTGGGTCTGGGGCACACACCCCAGCCAGGTAGGGAGACACAGTTGGGAGGTGGGTGGGTGAGTCAGGTGGGCCGGGGTGGCACTCACATCTAATTGTTTACCTCGTGGGATGTCACGTCTGCTGGGTGTAAACACGTCACGAGATCAGATACATGCACGCCAGAGACGGTGCTAAAGTCATGGACCAGAGACGGTGCTAAAGTAAGTCAAGGTCAAGAGCCGGTGCTAAAGTCATGGACCAGAGACGGTGCTAAAATCATGGGCCAGAGACGGTGCTAAAGTAAGTCAAGGTCTAGAGCCGGTGCTAAAGTCATGGACCAGAGACGGTGCTAAAGTCATGGGCCAGAGACGGTGCTAAAGTCATGGGCCAGAGACGGTGCTAAAGTAAGTCAAGGTCAAGAGCCGGCAATGTAAGAGATTATGATTTTAGAAATTCAAATTCCAAACGTTTTAGAGAAACTAAAAATAAAGTATAGTTCCACTTCCTGTTACCGGAAATCGCTCAAAAGTTGATGGAAATCTACGGATAGGATCTAATACTACTAGTACACGAATCTTTGCCCACCTAACTGAAACGATACTCAAGACACATACATACAAGGTTGCAAAACTTTTTCCCCACTAAGGAGAGTGTAAAACTTTGACATTTGTCAAAATATCGATTTTTTTGTACGAGTACAATACTTCCCTATAGGCCTATTCTTTACCAGAAAAAGTAAAACAAATGTGAAATTAAAATGGACAAAGTTTGTGAAAAAACCAACAACAAGCAAGGTATGACTTAACACCCCAGTGGTCTCCTACACAAACTTCCTCTAGCATCAAGTTGTCTCCCCTGGTCGTCTGCTGACCAGATGGCGAAAGGTAAATGTCAGCCGACGACTGAAGATCTGCACTTCCCGCCTGCCACACACGACGGGAGATGCACGCAGCTAGGAATAGCTGCAGCCAAATCTACAACCCTCACAGCAGCCAAACGGGGACAGGCATGCACTTTCTGATCACGTGGGCACATTGGGAGGGTAACAGAAATCTAATTTAGGAGTCTATGGGGGAGGGGGGGGACTCGCTTGTTTGTGTGGGGGGAGGGGGGGCTCGCTTGTTTATCCACACTAGTTAAACTTTGTCATGGAACAAAAACCCCAAGGTTTTCTAAAGCTTTTAATCCGATAATCTTTGGGTTTGTGGTCAAATCTGTAGATCAATGTTGACCCACGTCTACATGCAGAAATCTCATTCCCCATGTCAATTCAAGACTATATAATTTTAAACTTAATAAGCTATTACGTTCGTTAGAAAAGAATTAAGTTAAAGATTACTAGACTCAATAATCAATAGAAAAAATAAAACGGAATGAAGTTATAGTGAACACTGGATGAGCTAGGTTAGAGATGGGCTGGTGTTTACGGCATCTTTCATCTGCTAGTCAAACTACTGACAACAGCATCCACCCTCTACTGACTCCACTTACCCCATCCACCCATCTAGTTCTACTGACTCCACTTACCCCATTCACCCAGCTGGTTCTACTGACTCCACTTACCCCAGCTGGTTCTACTGACTCCACTTACCCCATCCACCCATCTAGTTCTACTGACTCCACTTACCCCATTCACCCAGCTGGTTCTACTGACTCCACTTACCCCAGCTGGTTCTACTGACTCCACTTACCCCATCCACCCATCTAGTTCTACTGACTCCACTTACCCCATTCACCCAGCTGGTTCTACTGACTCCACTTACCCCAGCTGGTTCTACTGACTCCACTTACCCCATCTAGGTCTACTGACTCCACTTACCCCATCTGGTTCTACTGACTCCACTTACCCCATCTGGTTCTACTGACTCCACTTACCCCATCCACCCCGCTGGTTCTACTGACTCCACTTACCCCACCTGGTTCTACTGACTCCACTTCTGATTCAACTGACTCCACTTACCCCAGTTTGATGGTGCTGCCATCTTTCAGCCAGGAGATGATGGGTGGCTTCCCCTGCATGTCCCTGCCATGAGCCACACAATGCAGATAGGCCGTCTGCTTCTGGTGCACTCGCTGGCTGCGTGGTCTGATGACAAACTTAGGGGGCCCCGGGTTTTTGGCATCTGGGAAATAGTGGATCAATGACAAACTTAGGGGGGCCCGGGTTTTTGGCATCTGGGAAATAGTGGATCAATGACAAACTTAGGGGGCCCCGGGTTTTTGGCATCTGGGAAATAGTGGATCAATGACAAACTTAGGGGGGCCCTGGGTTTTTGGCATCTGGGAAATAGTGGATCAATGACAAACTTAGGGGGGCCCTGGGTTTTTGGCATCTGGGAAATAGTGGATCAATGACAAACTTAGGGGGGCCCGGGTTTTTGGCATCTGGGAAATAGTGGATCAATGAAAAACTTAGGGGGCCCCGGGTTTTTGGCATCTGGGAAATAGTGGATCAATGACAAACTTAGGGGGGCCCGGGTTTTAGGCATCTGGGAAATAGTGGATCAATGACAAACTTAGGGGGGCCCGGGTTTTTGGCATCTGGGAAATAGTGGATCAATGACAAACTTAGGGGGGCCCGGGTTTTTGGCATCTGGGAAATAGTGGATCAATGAAAAACTTAGGGGGCCCTGGGTTTTTGGCATCTGGGAAATAGTGGATCAATGACAAACTTAGGGGGCCCCGGGTTTTTGGCATCTGGGAAATAGTGGATCAATGACAAACTTAGGGGGGCCCGGGTTTTTGGCATCTGGGAAATAGTGGATCAATGACAAACTTAGGGGGCCCTGGGTTTTTGGCATCTGGGAAATAGTGGATCAATGACAAACTTAGGGGGGGGGGGGCTTTGGCATCTGGGAAATAGTGGATCAATGACAAACTTAGGGGGGCCTGGGTTTTTGGCATCTGGGAAATAGTGGATCAATGACAAACTTAGGGGGCCCTGGGTTTTTGGCTTCTGGGAAATAGTGGATCAATGACAAACTTAGGGGGGCCCGGGTTTTTGGCATCTGGGAAATAGTGGATCAATGACAAACTTAGGGGGGCCCGGGTTTTTGGCATCTGGGAAATAGTGGATCAATGACAAACTTAGGGGGCCCTGGGTTTTTGGCATCTGGGAAATAGTGGATCAATGACAAACTTAGGGGGGGGGGGGCTTTGGCATCTGGGAAATAGTGGATCAATGACAAACTTAGGGGGCCCTGGGTTTTTGGCATCTGGGAAATAGTGGATCAATGACAAACTTAGGGGGGGGGGGGCTTTGGCATCTGGGAAATAGTGGATCAATGACAAACTTAGGGGGCCTGGGTTTTCGGCATCTGGGAAATAGTGGATCAATGACAAACCTAGGGGGGCCCGGATTTTTGGCATCTGGGAAATAGTGGATCAATGACAAACTTAGGGGGGCCCGGATTTTTGGCATCTGGGAAATAGTGGATCAATGACAAACTTAGGGGGGGGGGCTGGGTTTTTGGTATTTCGGAAATAGAGGACCAAGACAATCAGATGAGGATTTAAGTAGATCAAATAGTGGATCCATTAAATGGTGAATCAGTGTGTTGAGATCATCAAATAGAAGGTAGAGACAACTAGCCATTGGGGAATGTACTTTAATAAACAGTTCTGTGTACATTTTGTGGCATAACTGTTTCAGTCTTCTAAAGAAATATTTCTTATTTAAGCCCAAAATTATTCCATTAAGATAGCTTAAGCTCATGAATAGAGAGGAACTGACCATTAGATGAAGACAGCGTAGCCAGGTTGCTGACTTTAAGCTTCCCTTGGACCTCCACCTCGCAGCCATACTGACCATACTCAGATGATGAAATAGGACCCAGCTCTATCAGACCTGCACATCAAATCATTCAAAAGTTGAAAACATTATTTTACATACATGTGGCATTTTTAATTTAACTACTTTCTCAGTATTCTTATGTTATTATTAAATAAACAATTTCTCTATGGGTGACCTTTTGTTCAAATACCCAAACTGTCTAATAGACTACAGACCTAATCCTATAGACTAGGACAGTCTTATAGACTACAGACATAGACAAGGTTTCTTACACTCAGCTCTGAAAAGGGGGAGGGAGGTGGATGTTCTCTTGAGAGTGGGGGTGGGGGCACTGTAGCCCCAGAGAGATACATACATTCCCTATTATCCCTAAGCTGAAAACAATGGACCCCATATGCCAGAGATAACAAATAATTAGCTGGAGAAATGTTGCTGGTGACACAAGAAATGTTGCTGGTGACACAAGAAGTGTTGCTGGTGACACAAGAAATGTTGCTGGTGACACAAGAAATGTTGCTGGTGACACAAGAAATGTTGCTGGTGACACAATAAAATGTTGCTGGTGACACAAGAAATGCTGGTGACACAAGAAATGTTGCTGGTGACACAAGAAATATTGCTGGTGACACAAGAAATGTTGCTGGTGACACAAGAAATGTTGCTGGTGACACAATAAAATGTTGCTGGTGACACAAGAAATGCTGGTGACACAAGAAATGTTGCTGGTGAGACAAGAAATGTTGCTGGTGACACAAGAAATGTTGCTGGTGACACAAGAAATGTTGCTGGTGACACAAGAAATGTTGCTGGTGACACAAGAAATGTTACTGGTGACACAAGAAATGTTGCTGGTGACACAAGAAATATTGCTGGTGATAGATCAGATGTGAGCAGGGAGTTGTCGGCCATGCCATGTGCTATGGATTCCTACCCTTCCCCTCCACGACCATCACAAACAGTCAACATTTTGATTGGTCAATTAATTCCAACAATAATCTTATTTATCAATAGTCTTTACACATAACACACAATTTCACATTTGAACTAGTTACGTAAAAATCCCAATACAAATGTTAACATTCTAAACTGGTTAACAAAGATTTCTTCTTCATTCTTGATTGTTACATTAGAAGGAATTCTATGTGCAACATGTTATGCACCTTACGGCCTATTGACGTAAACATTTTTATTACTGGATTTTGCTCCTGTAGCCTTACTTTGTGCACTCAAGATCTATCAGCAAGGCAACAGTTGACTTAGGAGTTGACTTAGATATAAGATGGGCTGCTAATGCTAATGAGCATGGTTTGCACAAGGGTAAAAACTCTGAACTTTTGGAGATAGCAATCATCTACTCTCCCTAATCAATTTCCCCCCTGCCTTTGTGCTTTTATTTTTAAAATTTTCTATTTTACAAAACTTCTCTAGCAACTATAGACACAGCACTTAAACTAAGGCTGTTACAAAAATTTCCCACCAAAAACATCAAAGAAATCTTCTGGTTACAAAAAAACTCAGCTGCTGTTATGATCTGTCCGTAATGCATGCAACTGTCGCCAGGAGCATGTAATTTGATTTATTTTGAAAACATATTTCTACTTACACCCCACCCCCCCCCCCCCCCCCAGCAGCTAATCAGGAATGACAAGTCCAATGTTTACCTGTAGGAAAAATTCTAGTTTTAGCATTAGGCAGGAGCCTGGTTGGACCTTTGAACCATTGCACTGTGGCAGGTGGGTGGCTGTTGATCAAACACTCAAAGGCTGCCCAGTCCCCTGGTGCCAGCTGTAGGTTCTTGGGCTCCTCCTCAAAGTGTTTTGGTACATCTGAAAGTTTTAGTCAAAGTGTTTTGGTACATCTGAAAGTTTTAGTCAAAGTGTTTTGGTACATCTGAAAGTTTTAGTCAAAGTGTTTTGGTACATCTGAAAGTTTTAGTCAAAGTGTTTTGGTACATCTGAAAGTTTTAGTCAAAGTGTTTTGGTACATCTGAAAGTTTTAGTCAAAGTGTTTTGGTACATCTGAAAGTTTTAGTCAAAGTGTTTTGGTACATCTGAAAGTTTTAGTCAAAGTGTTTTGGTACATCTGAAAGTTTTAGTCAAAGTGTTTTGGTACATCTGAAAGTTTTAGTCAAAGTGTTTTGGTACATCTGAAAGTTTTAGTCAAAGTGTTTTGGTACATCTGAAAGTTTTAGTCAAAGTGTTTTGGTACATCTGAAAGTTTTAGTCAAAGTGTTTTGGTACATCTGAAAGTTTTAGTCAAAGTGTTTTGGTACATCTGAAAGTTTTAGTCAAAGTGTTTTGGTACATCTGAAAGTTTTAGTCAAAGTGTTTTGGTACATCTGAAAGTTTTAGTCAAAGTGTTTTGGTACATCTGAAAGTTTTAGTCAAAGTGTTTTGGTACATCTGAAAGTTTTAGTCAAAGTGTTTTGGTACATCTGAAAGTTTTAGTCAAAGTGTTTTGGTACATCTGAAAGTTTTAGTCAAAGTGTTTTGGTACATCTGAAAGTTTTAGTCAAAGTGTTTTGGTACATCTGAAAGTTTTAGTCAAAGTGTTTTGGTACATCTGAAAGTTTTAGTCAAAGTGTTTTGGTACATCTGAAAGTTTTAGTCAAAGTGTTTTGGTACATCTGAAAGTTTTAGTCAAAGTGTTTTGGTACATCTGAAAGTTTTAGTCAAAGTGTTTTGGTACATCTGAAAGTTTTAGTCAAAGTGTTTTGGTACATCTGAAAGTTTTAGTCAAAGTGTTTTGGTACATCTGAAAGTTTTAGTCAAAGTGTTTTGGTACATCTGAAAGTTTTAGTCAAAGTGTTTTGGTACATCTGAAAGTTTTAGTCAAAGTGTTTTGGTACATCTGAAAGTTTTAGTCAAAGTGTTTTGGTACATCTGAAAGTTTTAGTCAAAGTGTTTTGGTACATCTGAAAGTTTTAGTCAAAGTGTTTTGGTACATCTGAAAGTTTTAGTCAAAGTGTTTTGGTACATCTGAAAGTTTTAGTCAAAGTGTTTTGGTACATCTGAAAGTTTTAGTCAAAGTGTTTTGGTACATCTGAAAGTTTTAGTCAAAGTGTTTTGGTACATCTGAAAGTTTTAGTCAAAGTGTTTTGGTACATCTGAAAGTTTTAGTCAAAGTGTTTTGGTACATCTGAAAGTTTTAGTCAAAGTGTTTTGGTACATCTGAAAGTTTTAGTCAAAGTGTTTTGGTACATCTGAAAGTTTTAGTCAAAGTGTTTTGGTACATCTGAAAGTTTTAGTCAAAGTGTTTTGGTACATCTGAAAGTTTTAGTCAAAGTGTTTTGGTACATCTGAAAGTTTTAGTCAAAGTGTTTTGGTACATCTGAAAGTTTTAGTCAAAGTGTTTTGGTACATCTGAAAGTTTTAGTCAAAGTGTTTTGGTACATCTGAAAGTTTTAGTCAAAGTGTTTTGGTACATCTGAAAGTTTTAGTCAAAGTGTTTTGGTACATCTGAAAGTTTTAGTCAAAGTGTTTTGGTACATCTGAAAGTTTTAGTCAAAGTGTTTTGGTACATCTGAAAGTTTTAGTCAAAGTGTTTTGGTACATCTGAAAGTTTTAGTCAAAGTGTTTTGGTACATCTGAAAGTTTTAGTCAAAGTGTTTTGGTACATCTGAAAGTTTTAGTCAAAGTGTTTTGGTACATCTGAAAGTTTTAGTCAAAGTGTTTTGGTACATCTGAAAGTTTTAGTCAAAGTGTTTTGGTACATCTGAAAGTTTTAGTCAAAGTGTTTTGGTACATCTGAAAGTTTTAGTCAAAGTGTTTTGGTGCATCTGAAAGTTTTAGTCAAAGTGTTTTGGTACATCTGAAAGTTTTAGTCAAAGTGTTTTGGTGCATCTGAAAGTTTTAGTCAAAGTGTTTTGGTACATCTGAAAGTTTTAGTCAAAGTGTTTTGGTACATCTGAAAGTTTTAGTCAAAGTGTTTTGGTACATCTGAAAGTTTTAGTCAAAGTGTTTTGGTACATCTGAAAGTTTTAGTCAAAGTGTTTTGGTACATCTGAAAGTTTTAGTCAAAGTGTTTTGGTACATCTGAAAGTTTTAGTCAAAGTGTTTTGGTACATCTGAAAGTTTTAGTCAAAGTGTTTTGGTACATCTGAAAGTTTTAGTCAAAGTGTTTTGGTACATCTGAAAGTTTTAGTCAAAGTGTTTTGGTACATCTGAAAGTTTTAGTCAAAGTGTTTTGGTACATCTGAAAGTTTTAGTCAAAGTGTTTTGGTACATCTGAAAGTTTTAGTCAAAGTGTTTTGGTACATCTGAAAGTTTTAGTCAAAGTGTTTTGGTACATCTGAAAGTTTTAGTCAAAGTGTTTTGGTACATCTGAAAGTTTTAGTCAAAGTGTTTTGGTACATCTGAAAGTTTTAGTCAAAGTGTTTTGGTACATCTGAAAGTTTTAGTCAAAGTGTTTTGGTACATCTGAAAGTTTTAGTCAAAGTGTTTTGGTACATCTGAAAGTTTTAGTCAAAGTGTTTTGGTACATCTGAAAGTTTTAGTCAAAGTGTTTTGGTACATCTGAAAGTTTTAGTCAAAGTGTTTTGGTACATCTGAAAGTTTTAGTCAAAGTGTTTTGGTACATCTGAAAGTTTTAGTCAAAGTGTTTTGGTACATCTGAAAGTTTTAGTCAAAGTGTTTTGGTACATCTGAAAGTTTTAGTCAAAGTGTTTTGGTACATCTGAAAGTTTTAGTCAAAGTGTTTTGGTACATCTGAAAGTTTTAGTCAAAGTGTTTTGGTACATCTGAAAGTTTTAGTCAAAGTGTTTTGGTACATCTGAAAGTTTTAGTCAAAGTGTTTTGGTACATCTGAAAGTTTTAGTCAAAGTGTTTTGGTACATCTGAAAGTTTTAGTCAAAGTGTTTTGGTACATCTGAAAGTTTTAGTCAAAGTGTTTTGGTACATCTGAAAGTTTTAGTCAAAGTGTTTTGGTACATCTGAAAGTTTTAGTCAAAGTGTTTTGGTACATCTGAAAGTTTTAGTCAAAGTGTTTTGGTACATCTGAAAGTTTTAGTCAAAGTGTTTTGGTACATCTGAAAGTTTTAGTCAAAGTGTTTTGGTACATCTGAAAGTTTTAGTCAAAGTGTTTTGGTACATCTGAAAGTTTTAGTCAAAGTGTTTTGGTACATCTGAAAGTTTTAGTCAAAGTGTTTTGGTACATCTGAAAGTTTTAGTCAAAGTGTTTTGGTACATCTGAAAGTTTTAGTCAAAGTGTTTTGGTACATCTGAAAGTTTTAGTCAAAGTGTTTTGGTACATCTGAAAGTTTTAGTCAAAGTGTTTTGGTACATCTGAAAGTTTTAGTCAAAGTGTTTTGGTACATCTGAAAGTTTTAGTCAAAGTGTTTTGGTACATCTGAAAGTTTTAGTCAAAGTGTTTTGGTACATCTGAAAGTTTTAGTCAAAGTGTTTTGGTACATCTGAAAGTTTTAGTCAAAGTGTTTTGGTACATCTGAAAGTTTTAGTCAAAGTGTTTTGGTACATCTGAAAGTTTTAGTCAAAGTGTTTTGGTACATCTGAAAGTTTTAGTCAAAGTGTTTTGGTACATCTGAAAGTTTTAGTCAAAGTGTTTTGGTACATCTGAAAGTTTTAGTCAAAGTGTTTTGGTACATCTGAAAGTTTTAGTCAAAGTGTTTTGGTACATCTGAAAGTTTTAGTCAAAGTGTTTTGGTACATCTGAAAGTTTTAGTCAAAGTGTTTTGGTACATCTGAAAGTTTTAGTCAAAGTGTTTTGGTACATCTGAAATTACATTATCACGGCAAAGCTGAAAGTTTGAATTAAATTATCATGGTAGATCTGAAAGTTTGAATTACATTATCACGGCAAAGCTGAAAGTTTGAATTAAATTATCATGGTAGATCTGAAAGTTTGAATTACATTATCATGGTAGATCTGAAAGTTTTAATTACATTATCATGGTAGATCTGAAAGTTTTAATTACATTATCATGGCAAATTTGAAAGTTTGAATTATAGTATCATGGTAAATCTGAAAGTTTGAATTACATTATCATGGTAAATCTGAAAGTTTGAATTACATTATCACGGCAAAGCTGAAAGTTTGAATTAAATTATCATGGTAGATCTGAAAGTTTGAATTACATTATCATGGCAAAGCTGAAAGTTTGAATTAAATTATCATGGTAGATCTGAAAGTTTTAATTACATTATCATGGTAGATCTGAAAGTTTTAATTACATTATCATGGTAGATCTGAAAGTTTTAATTACATTATCATGGTAGATCTGAAAGTTTTAATTACATTATCATGGCAAATTTGAAAGTTTGAATTATAGTATCATGGTAAATCTGAAAGTTTGAATTACATTATCATGGTAAATCTGAAAGTTTGAATTACATTATCACGGCAAAGCTGAAAGTTTGAATTAAATTATCATGGCGAATCTGAAAGTTTGAATTAAATTATCATGGCGAATCTGAAAGTTTGAATTATAGTATCATGGCGAATCTGAAAGTTTGAATTACATTATCATGGTAAATCTGAAAGTTTGAATTACATTATCATGGTAAATCTGAAAGTTTTAATTACATTATCATGGTAGATCTGAAAGTTTTAATTACATTATCATGGTAGATCTGAAAGTTTTAATTACATTATCATGGCAAATTTGAAAGTTTGAATTATAGTATCATGGTAAATCTGAAAGTTTGAATTACATTATCATGGTAAATCTGAAAGTTTGAATTACATTATCACGGCAAAGCTGAAAGTTTGAATTAAATTATCATGGCGAATCTGAAAGTTTGAATTAAATTATCATGGCGAATCTGAAAGTTTGAATTATAGTATCATGGCGAATCTGAAAGTTTGAATTACATTATCATGGTAAATCTGAAAGTTTGAATTACATTATCATGGTAAATCTGAAAGTTTTAATTACATTATCATGGTAGATCTGAAAGTTTTAATTACATTATCATGGTAGATCTGAAAGTTTTAATTACATTATCATGGCAAATTTGAAAGTTTGAATTATAGTATCATGGTAAATCTGAAAGTTTGAATTACATTATCATGGTAAATCTGAAAGTTTGAATTACATTATCACGGCAAAGCTGAAAGTTTGAATTAAATTATCATGGCGAATCTGAAAGTTTGAATTAAATTATCATGGCGAATCTGAAAGTTTGAATTATAGTATCATGGCGAATCTGAAAGTTTGAATTACATTATCATGGTAAATCTGAAAGTTTGAATTACATTATCATGGTAAATCTGAAAGTTTTAATTACATTATCATGGTAGATCTGAAAGTTTTAATTACATTATCATGGTAGATCTGAAAGTTTTAATTACATTATCATGGCAAATTTGAAAGTTTCAATTATAGTATCATGGTAAATCTGAAAGTTTGAATTACATTATCATGGTAAATCTGAAAGTTTGAATTACATTATCATGGTAAATCTGAAAGTTTTAATTACATTATCATGGTAGATCTGAAAGTTTTAATTACATTATCATGGTAGATCTGAAAGTTTTAATTACATTATCATGGCAAATTTGAAAGTTTGAATTATAGTATCATGGTAAATCTGAAAGTTTGAATTACATTATCATGGTAAATCTGAAAGTTTGAATTACATTATCACGGCAAAGCTGAAAGTTTGAATTAAATTATCATGGCAAATCTGAAAGTTTGAATTACATTATCATGGCAAATCTGAAAGTTTGAATTACATTACCATGGCAAATCTGAAAGTTTGAATTACATTACCATGGCAAATCTGAAAGTTTGAATTAAATTATCATGGTAAATCTGAAAGTTGTAATCAAACAGTTTTGGTAGATTTGAAAGTTTTAATTAAATTATCAAGACAAATCTAAAAATTTTAATTATAATATCGGGCAAATCTGAAAGTTTTAATGAAACCATCACACAAATCAGAAACAGCTTTAACCAAACTATAACTTTTTACATTTCAAGATTGGGTTTATTCTTTTATTCAGTGTAATTTAATGTGAAATACAAAATTCATGACTACTTGATGTAACTTAATGTAATCTATGATATACCCTCAGCCTAATACCCAAACGTTATCACCCCATGCCATTTCCCCCAGAAAAATTGCTAATTTTAAATTGTCAATTATCCCCTTATGGTACTTAAAAGTAATATAAGTAAGCTAAAAATAAAATTACCATTTTTAAAATGCCTAGGCATTCTATAGAATGACTGAAACGGGCCTACAAAGAACAAAATAAATTGTAGTTTGTCCTATCTGTAGGCATTGTATCAGGAGACAGCTGAATAATGTGCTGAATAATCTCAAACATTCACAAGCTTATCCTCTCCCTAACCCGGCTACAGGACATCCCCACCCCCAGGTATTTACCCCACGGAGCAATTACCCCCTGTCAATTACCCCCCCCCCATCATCCACAACTATAGAATCCTAATTTTAACTCCAAATCTGTTTATTATTACCTTAATTCAAACCTTAATCCTAATCATAAGATAAAGATGAAAAACCTAAGAATTCACCTCACCCTAAAATAAACTTAAAACCAAACCCAACTCTAGACATTCATTTCAGCCTAACCCTGAACCTAACACTAAACCTAGCCTTAACCCTAGCACTAACCCTAGAGCTAACCACAGACCTAGACCTAACCCAAACTCAAACCCTAGCTCTAACCCAAGCTGAACCTTAAGCTATGACGGGGGGGGGGGGGGGGGGGGGTAATGTCCTACTAGGCAGGGGGTAAATGGCAGGGGGGGGGGGGGGTAATTGACAGGGGGTAATTACTCTGGTGGGGGAAATGTCCGGGGGGGGGGATTGACAGACAGGGGGGTTAATGCCCTGTTCTCCCCTAACCCTTACCTTATCCTTATTCCCTTTCTTAAACCTTATCATAATTGCCAACACTATATTTATCCATAACACATTTCCCTATTAGGTAGTTAATGATAAGATAAAAATATAGATGTAACTATTAAGTAGTTAGTGGTAAAAATAATGATTTTGTAAATACAGTAAAAAATCATGACTGTATCCAGTGTAAAGTGATGTCAAATAAAAAAACCACAGCTTACGAGGTAGAGTGAGGTTGGCTTTCTTGCTGAGGATTGTGCCTAGGCCTGAGACAGTAGCAGAGCAGACGTACTCCCCCTGGTCAGTCTCACCTGGCATGGAGCTCTGGACTGACCGGATGTAGAGACCATCCTCCTGGTACTTCCTGAAACACAAGGTCATGTCTCAGGATTGGGTTTACAATTTTTTTTATCATGGCTTCATACAAATGCAAATAGTAACTTTTTAAGGTGATTTTCTATGCAGGTTTAATTTGATAGTGGGGAGGGGCTTGTTTGCTGTAAAGATTGAGTTCTTGGGTCTTAAGACTATGGTATGGATGATTGTTGTATCTAAGATTTGTAAGGGGATGATTGTTGTCCAAGGATTGGGAAGAGGAAGATGGTAAGTCCAGAGGAATAAAGGGGCTTAGCATTGGGGAGGGGGGGGGGGGGAACAAAATAATTCTTTTCATTCACCAGCACTAATGTTATTCGCTTATTCCAATATAGTTACTAGTGAAGAAGCGACAGAATGAGGGAGTGACATTAAAAGAGGGAGTGACACAGAACGAGGGAGTAGTGACAGAATGAGGGAGTAGTGACAGAATGAGGGAGGAGTGGCAGAATGAGGGAGTAGTGGCAGAATGAGGGAGTAGTGACAGAATGAGGGAGTAGTGACAGAATGAGGGAGTAGTGACAGAATGAGGGAGTAGTGACAGAATGAGAGAGGAGTGGCAGAATGAGGGAGTAGTGACACAATGAGGGAGTGACACAGAATGAGGGAGTGACACAGAATGAGGGAGTGACAGAATGAGTGAGTGACACAGAATGAGGGAGTGACAGAATGTGGGAGTGGCAGAATGAGGGAGTGACACAGAATGAGGGAGTGACACATAATGAGGGAAAGACACATAATGAGGGAGTGACACAGAATGAGGGAGTGACATGAGGGAGTGACATGAGGGAGTGACACAGAATGAGGGAGTGACACAGAATGAGGGAGTGACACAGAATGAGGGAGTGACACAAAATGAGGGAGTGAAACAGAGTGAGGGAGTGACACAGAGTGACAGCACAAACCTCCTCTCCTCTGAACGAATCAACTGTCCGTCCTTGAACCAATGGACGGCCACACTCTCCCTCCCCGTGTAGTTGACCTTGCAGTAGAACCTGACAGCCTGGTCCTCAGCAGCTACCAGAGATTCTGGCTCTTGGCTAAAGCTCAGGCTACGAAACGTGCTGGTGACTGGAGAGAGAAAAATATTTCCTCGTCAAACTCAGTGGGAAAAAAAATGAGCTGGCAATTTAAAATGTTGTTACATTTAGCTGACAAAGTCGTTGTTAGAAATGTTAAGGATGCAACAGCAAACACTATATTCAAGCTGTAATCAAACATGCACACAAGAAAACATTGATTTGTTATATGAGAGTTTATAGTTATTCAGAGTTTGTGTTTGCAAAATTGTATAAGAAAACACAATGAATCAATATTTTATTCAAGAAACCTTATGCATTTAAAACTATCAAACATAAAAGCATCAAGTTCAATGTATTAACTATGTTTTTATTTTATCTTAATTCTCCTTTTTTTTTAAAAAAAACGTATGTCATCAGTAACGAACTAGACCTTTGGCTGTTGCGGACAAAGTTTATTTGAATAAAGTGTCAAGTCATTGCAGGAATATATTGAGTGTGAAAGATGTGCAGACTGAAGCACTAGATCGTTGGAGTTTGTAATACAAGATATGTGGAGACTTTTCTCCCTTTAAACCCCACCCCTGCCGTACGTCCACAGAGACCGTCCCTCCCACCTTCTTAAAGCTACGGTCCATACTTTGCCGGACATTCGGGCTCAAACACTAAATCAAACTTGGATCACCAGCAAAAAACTGCCTATCTGGTCATTTCATATTTAATTCAAACCTCACAAAATCCGCCATCTTGTGACCTACAAGCCAACTTGTCATCTCACAACAATTGTGATGTACACTACAACTCCCCCACCAATTGTGACGTACACTACAACTCCCCCAACAATTGTGACGTACACTCCCCACCAATTGTGACGTACACTACAACTCCCCCAACAATTGTGACGTACACTCCCCACCAATTGTGACGTACACTACAACTCCCCCAACAATTGTGACGTACACTACAACTCCCCCAACAATTGTGACGTACACTCCCCACCAATTGTGACGTACACTACAACTCCCCCAACAATTGTGACGTACACTCCCCACCAATCCCCAACCACTGTAACGTACACTCCCCCTCCCACACACCAAACCCCGACAATTGTGACGTACACTCCCCCACCAACTGTGATGTACACTCCCCACCCCCCACACACACACCAAACCCCGACAATTGTGACGTACACTCCCCCACCAACTGTGGCGTACACTCCCCCCCCCCAACCACTGTAACGTACACTCCCCCCCACCACCAACTGACGTACACTCCCCACCCCCCACCCACTGTAACGTACCGACAGAGTAAACTGTCCACGCAGGAGCTATACACAAAACGTCGGCTGCTAATGTAAGCAATGGCAGACGGGCAGACGAGAGCGCTGCTGGCGACGATAGTGTCACGACGAATGTTGACATACCCCCCCCCCCCCCCCTCACACACAGCTGATCAACAATCCAGAAACTCACAAACCAGGACAACTTTATTCAGCACTAGGCCGCTATTTAAAAAAAAAAATCAGACCGTCATTCAAGTTCATTCAACATTCACAGACCAACTTAAATGTGTGGATAATGTTGTGGATTTTATCCACCACCCATCTCAGAAATATTTAGTTACAAACGTTATTATCTAAATCTAAATATCTTTAGTAAATCAACTACATAAATGTTTTTTAAAATAATACGCCCCCCCCCCCCCCGCCCAACACACACACCCACACACCAAGTGCCAATCAATACATATACCATAATTTTGTGGTACTTCACCTAATTGGGCCCACAATAAAACGGCCACTACTACTCAATACCAGCCTCATCCGCCACTGACACGAGAGATAATTGCTCACGTCGAACATACAGTCGACAGTCAGGGTCGATGGTTCATGCATGTTCATTAGCTGGTTCATTTTCATGAGCCTGCAAGCACACAACCTCCAACTACATGCGATACAATGTGAACTGGCATAGAGTACCAAAACATAGAGATGAATTTTTAAAAAAAAAACAGGAAAAAAATACTTAGAAGAACCAAAGCTTTCATCTTAATTAAAGAGAAAGTTATAAAGATCAAGGGAAGCAACACTGTTATTTGAGACGGTGGTTAGGGCAATATCTGTAGATTTAACTTGAGACATTTGTTGGGAAACGTTTGACCAGCTCATCGCTCTATCAGTAAACTAAATGTTTAACGATAAATAATACATTAGCCAGCCTATAGACCAACCCACCCGGTGAGTGATCTGCATGTCGCCCTTGAATTATTCGCGAGGGTGGGGGGTATCGTGAATCAAGCTATGTTCAATACAAATGAGTTCTGATTTTGTACCTTATCATAAGTTTTTTTTTTAATATCTTAGTACATCTTCACATTTTAGCATTATTTTGCCAATGAAGCTTAGCTTGGTATTTGAGCATCTCGTCATTTTAGTATGTAATGGCATTTTTTGAATATATTGACATTACGATATATGTGAAGTAAAATAGTCTTGGAGTATGTGAGAGTGGTATGTTTATGGAAGTTTTAAAAAAAGACGTGCCTCATCTTGTTGGTGTAATTGTTTAACCACGCAACAAAACAACCGAACATCTAGAGCCGAGCACCCTGTCGAGAACATGCAGCTAAATATAGCCGAGGGCACCGTGAACTGAAGGCCACACGACAGGAGAAACACCTCGGCGACAAAATATGTTTTTTTTTTTTAAAAATGTTTTCAAAGTTTCTGTGAGAACAGTTTCTTACGCCAGCAGTCAACAAGTCTGAAACTTGGCCACAAACTTGTCAAATTTGGCCGGATTTACTTGACGAGCTATTTACCAAAAGCGTCAAAAACATTAAAAAAAACTAATAAATAAATATGGTGTTATTTCGTCACTAAAATTCCTACTGGCCACATAAATTCTTATCCTAGATGTGATACTAATCCTAACGTCACCACCGCCCGATAAAGTGCATGTTTTGTGTTTACTGTTTGTGTTTATTAAACCACAATTTTTATATTGTTTATCGTGTAAAATAACAGAAAACGAGCGTATATAAGTCTGTCCATTTGACTGTCCACAGCAACTACAACTGTGAACCAACCAACAGCACAAGCCAGCAAGACTAGCATACGGTGACTACCTGCTCCGTGAGATCTACCACTCAACCAACGACACCCACCTCAACACCCACACTCTACTTTATCTGGTAAGTTAATTCACATTTTATCGCTAGCTGAAATTAATATAATTGGACTAAGACAAGCACACGATTTTTCAAAACAGTTTTCCGTATTATTAACATAAATAGGAAAAGATATAAGCAATGTTAGATATTATTTTAAATCCCAAATGTAAATACACATGTGATTAACAGTGATCTCCCCTTTCACCATATTTTCAAATGTAACATCTAATAGTAAAAGATACCAATATTTTCTAACCATACAGTGAATGTTGAAATCTATAAAATCTAATCGTAGATCTTTAAAGGAAGAATTATTAGTTGATCCTATATAAAGTGACACGACAATTAAATCAAATCAGCCCGCTAAAACAATTAGGTAACCACTTAAACAAGCTTTTTACACATTTATTTAAATTAATCGGACAAGACACTTTAATGCTACAGCTGATCTTCTCATTACGTTTATAAATTAGATTGTTCGTCATATCACTTTAACCCCCCCCCCCCCCCCACACACACACACTAGTATGCCTATATCTAGGTTAGAGATTTTAGTCCACATCTGTTATCCTAGTTCACACATTAAATACCTTCAGGCATGGTATTCAGATGATTTGATACAGCGTGTACTAACACTATACAAATACTTGGTTGTATTTTCAATCCTATTTTTTTGCCCCCACAGCTACCAAGTGACGCCACCGCCCACCCCACCAACATGAACAGCGCCACCGTCATCTTCCTCGTGCTCTGCTCCACCGCCATCATCTCAGCCCAGTTTTTCCCCGGCTTCCCCATCGGGGGTGACTTCGATGTGGACGAGGGCCTGGGCTGTCTGTTGTTTGTGGACATCGCCCTACAGCTGGGCAACTGCACCAACCCCTTGGCCATTCGACCCTTGTGCGCGCGCTCATGCCGGGACTAAATGACCCCAAGGTCAAGGTTCACGCCGCTGAATGACATTAAATCACGTGACTGACTTTCATCGATTCATCTCATTCAAACTACAACACAGCATTCTATTTATTACACATTACGTTCTGTTGTTTTCATGTTAAATAAACATCAAATTATTTTTTAATATGTATTTTGTTTCTTTTAACTAGCGTATATTTAAATATTGAATATTATGAAAAATAAATTTAACAATGTGTGTACAAAAATAGGTATGTACAGATTCCTATAAAAACAAAAACTTCGATAGCTCACATTTAAGATTTATTGCCAAACTAAACGCTATGATAATGAGAATGTACCATAAAGAGGATTATACTAATATACCATGGATTGGGATTTATCATAAGCCAATAACAACTAGCCAATGGCAAAAAATTAATACTTAAAAAAGTATGGTAAAAAAATACCAGTTAAATCCAACTAGTTCAAATCAAGCACTTAAATCAAGGGAGCTTACTATAAATCACTCAAACCAAACCAGCCAAACGCTAAACCATGCCTACGGCCCTTGGCTCAACCAATCAAGCGGAAAACGAACCCACGCCGCCCCAGCTAATTAAATCCTGTTCCCTCTCTATCAACTTTAGGGCAATCTTGTAGGGGAGACACCAGCTGTAAACCAGGCCGGTGCCCCCCCCCCCCACACCCCCGGGCTACATCACTCACTGCCACATGCCTAGGTTAGCACGAGACGACCACAGGTAAAATAACATGTAGCATTCAAACAGCTGGGACATCACACAGCACTTCAACACAATGACAATTATACTTCTACAAAAAAATTATTTTTTAAAATGTATCATTATCTCTTCATCAAGTTGTATGTTAGAATGTATGAGATACACTTTTATAAAACAATTATCTTTATAATCGTGTGTAAAATTACGTCGCACCTGATGATATATTGCACAATTAAATTATAAT